ATACAAAGGAAAGATCATTTTGTATTTATATATACAAAATAGTTAGGATATACAGCTACTTTCACTTAATTCAATGAGAAGAAAGAGGTGTACTAACAGTGTTTGGACAGGATATCCTGTCTGCTTCTTGTACTATGGATAACCACTGAGAAGATAACAATGTACAATGTATTGATTATCGAAACTGTAATATTAATCAGCTTTGAAACGGTCTCATTCATATTTGTTTCTGAATAAAATTTTTTTAAAAAGGATCAAGGAAGATCTAAAAAGAAAGAAAGAAAGAAATATATCTGCACGTTGTTCCCAATTTAGTAGTAAGAGAGGTATGGGATTATCTCTTTTACAGGTTAAAAACAAGAAAAGGGCTGGGGATACAGCTCAGTGGCACCAGTGCCCGCCTGGCAAGCACAATGTCCTGAATTCGATTCCTAGTACTAAGGCAGAAAGCAACCACTGCAGCTTCTGAGAGCTTGGAGCACTGAGCCAAGGGAGGATCACGCTGTTACGAAGTACAGAAAAGGAACTGGAAAACCTCTGATTCACAAACTTAGCTCCTAACCACCAGGTCAGTCTACTCTATAGCCCCATTTTTTTCTAACCCAGATATATTAAGATCTGACCCAGCGATCTGACCCAGTGTCCATACTTGATTCGGACTGCTCTTCCTCTTTAACACGTTCGGCTGTATCAGGGATACAGGCGGGAGAGAGCGCCGAGGACCGAGGCAGGAAGGTAGCTAACGGCACCCAGTAGGTGCACAGGCGGGTCGGCTTCCGGGGCGGGTGTCTCAGGAAAAGGGGCCCGGCCCCGCCCCTTAGCCCGGGTCCATCTTTTCCGAGCCGGGCGCGAGGGGTGGAACCCGCCGGAAGTGGAAGTCGCGAGCGCAGCCTCGCGAGGGGTCTGGGCTTCCGCCCCGCCTTCAGCCCGGCATCTGTTTGTGTTTCCAAAAGGCGAGTCTGCGAGCGGCGCAGAGGGAGTTGCTTCAGCCTCCGAGGGGCCACGTCCTTGTCACCGAGATGGCGGACTGGCTCTTCCGTGCGCTGATCCCCAGTACCCGCCAGGACAAGGGGCCGGGCGCGCACACCTCTAATCCCAGAACGGCAAGTTACAGCCAAGCCTGGGTGCCCTAGTTACTCAGTGCGACCCCCGGCTCAAAATTTAAAAACGGCTGTAGTTGTAGCTCAGTGTGAAAGCCGTGGATTTTAGAGTAGTAGTGGGGTGGGGATCCACGTGGAGGAACAGAGGAACTTTAAATCTCGAGGTTGTGACTCGTTCACAACCTTTCGTTCCGTCATCTGTTTAAGAGAGGTGGAGTGTGGAGGCTTGCACCTCGAGTTCCAACACTTGGCAAAGAGGGAGGATTGCCGTGAGTCCGAGGTCAGCCTGAGCTACATGGTGAGACCTTAAATCCACAAAAAAAAGAACAAACCCAACTGAACGTTGAATCATCCCGTCTGGCGGCTTTACCAGGCATCAGCGCTCTGAGCTGTGGCTTTCCTTGAGTTTGTGTTCTACTAAAAGAGGGATACAGTGGAGAGAAGAATTACACAAACATCACATCTGCGGTACAGGTGACCGAGTAGTATGAAACAGATGGAAGCTCCCCAGGTTTTGTCTGCTGCAGAACCCTCCACTTTCCTGTGCCTGGTGGATCCTAGAAGTTTAGGCTGCCTGTGGTGAGCTGGGAGATGGCCTGTAGAGATACCATTTGGTGCTCTGGAACCTACAAATAATATTACCTTTTATGATAAGGTGGATGGGATTAAATTCAGCATTTTGAGATGGGGAGATTATTGTGAATTGTCTCGATGGGTCCTGTGTAACAGTGTGAGTGTTCATAAAAGGTAGGCAAAGAGGGATTTGACCCTGGACAAAGCAGTGTGGCCTAAACTGCTAAACTGGGCATGGTGATTCGTACCTGTAATCCCAGGACTGAGGGAGGCTGAGAGAAGGAGGATCGAAAATTCAAGTCCTGCCTGCAATTTAGCAAGACCCCGCTCTCAAAATTAAAAAATAAAAATGTAGCTCAATGGTGGACCATCCCTGGTTCAATCCCCAGCCAGTACAAAGAGGAAGGAGGGAGAGAGACAGCGAGTGCGGGAGTTGCTAGCTGGGTGTGGGGACACATAAGCTTATTTCATCACTCTGGAGGTGGAGGCAAAAGAACTGTAAATTTGAGTTTTGTGTGGGCAACTTAAAGACTTTAAAAGACCCTGTATTTGTCTGTCTATCTATCTGTCTACGGCTGGAGTTACAGTTTAGTGAAAAGGTCCCGGCTCAATCTTTAGCACTGCAAGAAAAAAGAAAGTTAAGCTACCAGGTCTGAAACTGAAGAAATGTACCACAAGCAAGTAACATAGTTACAGAAGCTGGGAAATGCAAGGAAGTAAATTCTTGCAAATGTGATCCAGTGATGCTGATTTTAGATTTGCAACAAGACACCTTTGTTACAGCAGCCACAGAATGCTAATAATACACTGGTGTGGATAACCTCCTCATGGACAGATAGGCTGTTTCCTGTCCTTTACTACTTCTGATACCCTTATAGGACACCATGTACCTGTAGCATGGGTGTCCTGGTTCCCAGCTGGGGAGATAGTCTCACTCCCTGGGCATGTGACAGTGCCTAGGTAATTTTCATCATAGTCGGGGGGTTGCTACTGGTGTATAGTAGGTGGAAGCCAGAGATGCAGCTAAACATCCTACAGTGCACAGGATGGCAAAGAGTGATCCAGCCTTAAAAGTCAAAGAGCTGAGGTTGAGACATGCAGGGTTATCTCTAATACCCGTTCCTAGAAATGCAATTGCTGAGCCAAACAGTGTGCACTGTGGAAACCTTCTAGAAATTTCCATGTTGCCTAGAGCTAATTTTAAGCACAGGAACATGCTGCAGCACGGGGCAGTGTCTCATCCTCTAGGTTTCAGCTTGCCACCTCTGAGATCTTCATTGCAGGTGACGTGTGTGGCCATGGGTGCCAAGCCAGAACTACCCAAGCCTGGAGTCAGCTAGGATACAGTGGAGAGGCAGGTGTGCGAATTCAGTGGTCAACAGTTACGGGGCTGGCAGCACAAGGTTCTTTAAGTAAATAGTTTTATCCTGAGTGCCTGCCATGCGTTGACTGCAGAGATGAAAGTGACAAACATCTGCTGTCACAGAGATCCCAGTCTAATGGAGGAGACTAATCAGAAAACCAACCATGGGGAAGTCAAGGAAGGCTTCACAAAGGCAGTGACTTGCAGTTAGGATAATACACTGTTTACCATTATCACTGGTCACCATGACCTCAGTCTTTACAGGAGCTGGGGCGTCCTCCTAGTTCCTTAGGTTATAGTTGCCCCACCATGTGAAATCTGTCTTCGAGGGTGCTGAACACTGGGAGAGTGCGGTTCACTCACTGTGCCATAGGTCCCCGTCCCTCGAGCCATCCAGTTTCTGGTGCCTCTGTCTTCACACCCTTTCTCTGGGCTGTGACAAGCATGCTTAAGGAAGGAGCAGTTTTATCTGAGCAACAGTGCTACAAGAGTGACCCAGTTAACTGGACATGGTGGTATACACCTGTAATCCTAGTTTGAGGCCGGAGGGTCACCACGAATTCGAGGTTAGCTTGGACCACATAGTTAGACATGGAAAAGGAAAGAAACAAACAAACAGGAGAGCTGGCCAGATAGCTCAGCAGATTAAAGCACCTGTTAGGGCAGAGTGCAGCGGCTGGGGTTCAATCCTCAGGTGCCGTGCCAGCCCCCGGCCCTGGGGCACGATGAGACAGCAATTGAGACTGGGTGTGGGGTGGTGTGCACCTGTAATCCTAGCGCTTGGGAGGCTGAAAAGAGATTCACTATGAGTCCGATCTGTGTAGTGAGACCCTGTAGATGTACTAAATAAATAATGAAACAAGAAGCAAACGTGACTTGACTGGAATTTTTGCAGCAGCCTGGCCAGATGCCATGTGGGGAACCATTTGCTCACACCCCTAGCTCATCTAGGGCTGGGAACATAGTCAGGTGGGACCTACATGGCTCAGGGATGTGGAAGACCACCAGAGGTCCACCGCCAATGAGATGGTGATTTGTTTGTATGTTTATGGTACTAAGGATTGAATCCAAGGCCTCTGTACTGAGCTACATCTCCAGCCCATTTTTTATTTTCAGACAGGGTTTCACTAAGCTATCCAGGCTCAAACTTACAATCTTCCTGCTTTAGGCTCCAAGAGTGCTGGGATTACATGCATGCACCACCATGCCCAGCTGATGGAGAGGTTTTAGAATTCATGGTCCAGCCCCAGGTCAGGAGTGATAAGTCCAGCCCTGGCTCACAAAGGAGAGGAAAGACCTCTGAACATCTTTGGATATTGATTGGGTCTTGCACTGTTACTTGAAAGAGCCATGCCTTCAGTAATTGGGCTGGGAATGTAGCTCAGTGGCAGAGCACTTGCCTAACAATACAAGGCTCTGAGTTCAGTCACCAGTACCACCACACACACACACAAAGAACTGCCTAGGTTAGGCTCTTTAAAGAAGAGCACTGGCCTAATGTTTGAGATTAGCTCAAGGAAGTCATTTACAGAATACCTATGGTCATCAAAGCACAGCTTTTTATAAAAGACAATGTCCACCTTTAACAGATGCTCTAGAACAGTGTGTGTTGAGGGCTGGTTGCTAACAACTTTGGGAGCGCAGCAGGCCCAGATCTTTTGGAGCTCAGAACTCATACTTAGGCTCCTCCTGGGCACGCTTGTGGGCCTTCGAGGGTCCAGAAGTGGTCACCTGTCCAGCAGAGGTGGAAGCCAGGCTCACGGGGGCCAGGTTCACCCAGCCTGGCCCACGTGGCAGCTGGTGGCTTTCGTTGAGTCTGACAACACGGTAGTTCTCGTAGTGGATATTGTGGGTGATGTCCTTCAGGTCTTGGAGGTGGGAGCTGGGCAGTGGGAGGCAGGTCAGCCCCAGCCATGACGGCCCCTGGGACTCCCTTTCCAGCTGTCCAGCCCCAGGATGTCCCAGGCCTCACCGGATGAGCAGATCTCTCAGGAGAGGAAACTCGCAGTGTGCCATGTTCTCCACTGTGAGACATGGTGCCAGTCAGGTGCTGTGCAGCTGCCCTGCCCTCAGCAAGCACTGAGTAAGCCCATGCTCTGTACCCTGTGCCAGCTGAGATCCACCGGTGCCATTTCCCCACATTTCTCACTGTGTTATCCCACCTCCTTTCTTTGGTTGGTTCATTCATTCATTCATTCATTCATTCATTCATTCATTCATTCATTCATTCATTCTTGGACCTCATACAGTGGCTCCTACAAAAAGTTCATCACACTATTACTATTATATTATGTTCATTGTACTATAGATAATATGCATACATTTCTACTGCTGATACGAGTAAATCAGGGGCCAGGGTCAGGCTGTTCCTTCTCCCTTACTTTCCACCCTCACTCAGCAGCAGGTCTTCTAACTGTATTCCTCCCTTCCACCAATGTCTTGCACTGTGATTTTCCTTCTGCTATCATTTCCTATGGGGACAGGGACTCGTCAGTCCTGCTTTTGCTATACTCAGGAATTGAGCAGTGGTGTCTGGCACATAGTAGGGCCACAGTAAATTCAGTGAGCCCACAGGGCACCTGTGATGGTGGGAACTGTCCAAAGCAGTGACTTTGCCCTCTCCATGTATGCTGGGAGGTTGATGTTGCCCTAACACCACCCAGTTTGCTATGAGGAGACTGAGCTCAGGTGATACAGTTTGCGCAAGGCCTCCCAAATGGGGAGAGGGGCCTTTCTCAGGTCTATCTGGGGCCTGTCCATGAGCTTAACTACCCAGGGCCTAGGGAAGGTACTCAGGATGCCAGAGACATAGGGCACACCTTGGTTCCTAACCTGTTCTCACATGAACCCTCCCAGGCTCCCAGCACTGACCTTCAATGATGCCCCAGTTGGTCTTCCGGCCCAGGACACATCGCCCGTTCACCACATGCTCTTGGTCTGCCCCAACCACAGCAAATGGGATCCGCTCCTTGGAGCAGGAGGAGATGGGAGGATGGGTTGGTAGGGGAGATACTGAAGCAGGAAGAGGACACTGTCTTTTGTTGAGATGGGACAAAAGTTCTAAGGAGTCCAAAGACACAAAAGGCTAATACCATACCTCTGTTGCCTCATCTATAAAATGGGGACACTAACAGGACTGGCATAGGGCAAGGTTATGACACAGTGAAAAATTGGCAGAGTAATGCTGGGAAACTATGTCTTTTTCTTTTTGTGGTTTTAAAAATAATATCTTGTGTCCAGGTATGGTGGTGCATGCCTATAATCCTAGCACTCGGGAGGCTCAGACAGGAGAATCATTGTGAGTTCAAGGCCAGCCTTGGCTACAAAGTAAATTCAAGCCAGCCTGAACTACATAGTGAGATGCTGTCTTAAAAAGATAATAAATAGGTTCTGGGGAGATGGCTCAGTGGAATAAGCACTTCCTTGACAAGCACAAGGGCCTGAGTTCAATCCCTGGCTCCGCAAAAAAAAAAAAAAAAAAGATAATAAATAGATAAAATAAAATAAGATCTTGCTATATAGTTCACACTGGCCTTGAACTAACTATATAACCCAGGCTGGCTTTGAAGTTGAAGTGATTCTCCTGCCTCAGTCTTCCCAGGGTTGGAATTACAGGTATGCACCACTATACCTAGTAAATTATGTCTTTTTTTAAAAAAATTAGGTCTTTGTTAATAGTATGTTAATAATATAATCTTGGGGCTGGGGGTGTAGCTCAGTGCTCATATATGTACAACTCCCTGGAAAAAAAATATATATATTAGCAACTATATATATATATATATATATATATATAGTTGCTAACATTCACTTCTTACCTGTGACATGGACCACAAGTCCCCTACCCCCAACTTTTTTTTTTTTTCTTGGTGGAACCAGGGATTGAACTCACAGTGATCCTCCTCCCTCAACTTCCTGAGTGCTGGGATTACAGTCATGTATCACCACACCTGGTTTATAAAAATTCTTTTTGTCTATGTCTTGTACTCTGTGCAGGAAATGATAAATAATGTTTTAACTATTGTTGTTCTGTAATGAAATTTTGTTTATCTTTCAAAAATTTTTAAAAAGTGACTTTATAAACCAGGCTCTGGCAACCTGTGGCTCATAACAATATTCAGCTGGGTGCCTGGATTCCTAGAGTGAGTTTTATGGGCACATAGTTAAACCCATTTATTCTTCTTCCCTTGTCGGTGGCTGTTGTGAACCACAGTGGCAGAGTTGAGTAACTGCAGCAGAGACTGTCTGGCCCACAAAGTCTGAAACGTTTACCACCCCACCCTTAGCCAAAAGCTTGCTAAGCTGACCCTCCTGTGAAATAGTTGCTGTCTGTGTTATGGCACAAGTGGAAGTTCAAATCTCCAATGCCGTGGGTATGGTTATTTATCTACTTTATCTATTTGTAGTACTGAGAAGTGAAACTGGCATTGCTCTACCACTGAGCTACATCCCAGGCTATTTATATTTTTTTATTTTGAGACAGGGACTCACAAATTGCCCTAGTGGGCCTTGAATTTGCCATCCTCTTGCCTCAGCCTCCCAAGTACCTGGGGTTCAGGCAGGTGTCACCAAGCCTGGCTATTATTAAGTGTTGGGGATCAAGCACAGGGCCCTATGCATGCTAGGCAAGCATTATACACCACTGAGCTATACCACAAACTCCTGTCTTTATTTTGACAAATTAACTTGTATGGGGAATAAATTCGTTCCCAGCGGTGACTGGCTTGCTTCAGGATGGAAAGCACAAGCTGCTAAAGATCAGGCTTTGGGGATCTTCCATATGAAACTGGGTTCATTGTTTCAGTGGGGAGAGGTAAGAAGGGGGTTGCTGATGAGAAGCAAGGTCTCTGTGGGTAGATGTGTAATCTGTACACTGCCTACGCAGACATCTGAGCCTGTGATCACATGTGGCCCCAGCTGGAAAGGAAGCGCTCTTCCTGCTCCTTCTCTGGAAGTCAGCAGAGGCCTAGCAGTGACAGTGACGGACCTGGCTCTGCAGGATCCAGAGGGGCTGACAGCGAATGCGCCACACAGGTGGCAAGATGGAGGCTTAGGTAGGAATTCAGTTGATTTGGAGAAAATGAAGATGTGAGCTTGCTTGTTTCTCCCCTTTGTCTGTCTCTTTATTTTAGAACAGCTTTATTGAGGTATAGTTCATATATATAAATTCTACTCTCTTAAAGAATATAGTTCCAGCAGTGTGGGTGTTGAAAGGTGAGAGATGTAGCAGACAATTTCACCCCTGCCACAGCCTAGTACCTTGGGGTGGGGGCGATGGAGCCCAGGGCCTGTGCACTTTTTTAGTTTTCATTTTAAGGTAGAATCTAAGTCACTAAACTGCCCAGGCTGGACTCCAACTTGCAGTAATTCTGCTGAAGCCTCCCAACATGCTGGGATCACAGGTGGGCAAATCACACTCAAGGCAGTAAGTTCTTGCTGCTTATTTTCACAAGCAAACCTAAAACCAAATACCAAGTAGCCAAGAAGAGATCGGGAGGAGACTACTTTAAGGATGTTAAAAA